AACCGGCTCCGCGTCCGCCCGATCCACCAGCGTTGCCTCCTACATCGGGGCCTTCAAACACTCCATCACGCAAGACGCCGGTCGTCCTCAAGCCCAACATAGCATCCCAGGCGTTGCAGCCTCATGTGGCTCCGCCGACCGCGTCTGAGCGTTCATCCGCTCCGCAACAACTTGCGCCGCAACAACCCCTGTCCCTACAACCACGTTTCCCGGTGGCCGTTCTGAGTTTCTTCGACGGCATCGGAACTCCTTACACGCAGTTAAGTCTTGGTCGATTCGGCCGGTACTCGCTTGGTCGTGGGAGCTCGACCCCGAAGCAATCAAGGTCGCATCCTCCCAACACCCAGAGGTGATATATCATGGAGATGTGTTCGGCCGCAAGCCTTCCGAGGTATTGGCAGCGATTTCAGCCTCGGTAACCAAGGATACCGTGTTGCTCCTGTTCGCAGCACCTCCGTGCCATGACTTTTCCCGAGTTCGACAAGGCACAGAAGGCGCAAAGTTCCCCAGGTTCGCAGCCTGGCTTCGTGACTTTGTCAAGTCCTCGCCTTTTCGGGTTGTGTTCCTAATTAGTGGAGAATGTAGTCATGTCTTCGGGGTGCCAGCAAGAGCTTGACGACTTTCTAGGTTGCAAGGCGTTCGCATGCGACGCATCTAGTTGGGGCGTCGTGTCTCGTCCGAGACTCTGGTGGTCCAACGTGGTCACTCCCCCTCAGGAGAACGTGCGCGAGCCCCCACACTTGTTGGGCGGACAGGTTCGCTGGCGCCGTGCCCGTTCGCAAGCTTCAGTGAGGAAGTCACTTCTGGTCGCGTCAGATTCCCTTGCCTCACGACGCCCGCCGACTCGCCACAAGGGCGGGAACCACCGGGGAAGAAGCGCAGGACCGAGAGCCCCGCAACGATCGACCGATGGAAAGCCTCCAACCGGTCGTATCCGCCGTGGCAGTTCCGGAAGCATGCTCTAGGTCGCAGGAAGAACTGACGTGCCAGACCCTCCGACTCGCGAGTGGCTGCAGCTTATTATGCCGAGCGGCAAACACGGCCGCGGTGTCCCCCCACTCGAGGGCCAAACTCTTGGGCAACGCATGGCACGTAGGTGTGGCTAGGTTACTTGTTCTTCTCCTCTTGTGCCAAGCGGGAGTGGTTGACTCTCAGGTCGCCTATAGGTCGAGCGTCGGTACCTGACCCGTGCTTCCAGGTTCGATGGCATCCTGATGGGAGCCGTCCTCTCCAACGCGTGGCATCCTGGTGGTTACGGTCCACACTTAGCTGGGACCCGACGGAACCAGTACAGCCAGAGCTCAAAGCCCGGGGCCAAGGACCGTTCGCGCACTTTCAGTGGACACAGACACTCACGTTCGCGCACGTTTTCCAGCCGAACTGAACCCATGCTTAGCGTGGACGTTCGAGGTGCAAGCAAGGTTAGGTGCACAGGTCACACAGGTGCGAAGAGCAGTGTTACACGACTTGGAACAACTGGTCACCGAACGGCAAGAAGACCAGACTGAGGCGTTGCAGACACTGCCGGCACACGTGGCCGCAGTCTACCAACAAGGTTCCGGTCAGCTGTGTTTTCAGTTGCTTCCACTCGCGTGGCTCCTCGAGCTGTGCCAGTTCCCGGGGCGCCAAGAACTCCTGGCTGAGTTATTTTGGGGTTTTAAGTTGCTGGGACCGGTCACCAGAGGGTCTGGCTGGCTTAATAGGTACGCCAGACCCCTGCCAAGGCAGGATTTTCTGTCCGCCAACAGAGCCCTCGCCCTCCAACTCCGGTCGCCGACAGAACCTAGTGAGCACAACGAGGCGATGACGGCCGAGCTTGTCCAAGAAAGAGCAGTCGGCCGAGTCAGAGGACCACTGCCGCTGGAAGTTCTGGGCTCCGAGACACACTCCAGGTCGCTAGAGGATTCGCCGTGGTCGAGAACGATAAGGTGCGCAGGGCCGACGATTGGCTCAGGTCGCTCCACAATCGCACGATAGCAGCGGCCGACACACCGCCGTACCTCGGCGGACCAACAGTTGTCAGCGGCGCCGTCAGGTGCTCCCAGGTCTTTTCGGAACAGGCCTTGCTAGGAGCAATCGACCACGAAGGGGCCTACCGGTCGCTACCGGTTCGCGAACCACAGGAGTGCGGCCTCGTCATGCCAGGGACGCCGCCGAGTGTCTGGGCACACAACGCGCTGCCATGTGGCAGTGTCGGCTCAGTCTGGGCCTACTTGAGAGTTGCAGACGTGGTCGCGTTTTTGACCATCACGTTGCTGCTGATGTTCACAGCTCAGTATGTGGACGACTTCTTTTCGTTGGAACGTTCGAGCACAGCAGCCTGCGCTTTCGCCATCTTCCAGTCGTTCCATCGACTGCTAGGCTTCAGGATGAAAGAGGCCAAGTCTAAAGAACCCCAATTCGAGCAGACGTTGCTCGGGATCGAATGGGTCCTGACACAGCAAGCGATTTTCGCGTCACCGGGAGCCAGACGTGTGCAGAAGCTCCTCGCCCTCATCGAGAACTACATCTCGAGCGGTCGCATGTCGGCCTCGGAGTGTTCGCAACTCACAGGTAAATTATGTTTTACCTGCAGGTCTTCAACAACGTTGGTCGCTCGCTGTTGCAGCCGTTGTACTACAGACAACACCACGGCAGTCCTGGCTCGAGTCCGCTGACTGCCAGGATGACACAAGCCTTGAGCCAGCTTGGGTCGTTGTTACCAAGGTTGCAACCCAGGAGGTTCGCTATAAGGCCGGAGGAACGACAGAAGCCAGGTCCATCTGTACGCGGATGCATTCATCACATTGCATGGTGTTCGCAGAACTGCCGGACAATCCACCGCTGGAGGAGCTCGCTCAGTCTACGAACGGCTTCGGGGCACTGGTCGCCATCCCAGGGAGGCCTCCGATCGGCTTTCGTGGCGAGGTCCCGGCCTCAACTCTGACAGATTTGGCATCTTCGGGAGCCTACATCTTTTGGCTAGAAGCCCTAGCACAGATCGTTTCGTTGGCAACAGTTTGCGAGCTGTTCAACTCACATGTCTGCTGCTGCGTGGACAACACGTCCGCCGAGCACGCCCTCAACAAAGGCTACTCGAAAGACTGCGCCTCTCAGCTGTCATAGGAGCTTTTTGGGTTTGGGCCGCGTCCAGGTCGCTTTCGGTTTCTTTCCACAGAGTTTCCAGTTCGGAGAACATCTCGGACGGCATCTCCAGAGGAGATTTGCAAGATGTCTACAAGGTCGGGGGGACTGTTTACGACGTCTCCTTCAAGGACGTTTGGCCGCTCCTGACGCAGTTTAAAGACGACTGTCGGGACTACGAGAAAGAGTTCGCTCAGTTGGTCGCCTCCCTGTCGTCTCAACTTCGCTATCGCGTACAAGGGTGGCTTCACGACGCGCTGAGGGTGGTTAGTTCGTTTGCGTCTCCTGTGAAGCCAGTTCGTTACGCCTTACAGTCCGAGTGCGTATCGAACGCCAGATTTCGTTCGCCACCATCCGGAAGGGAAGAGTGAGTGGACGGAAAAAGTTGTGTCCGTGCGTCTGCACGCAAGCTAGTGTGAAGCTGTAGCTTGTCGGGCAGAACACGTGTGTTCGTAGTGACAAGCGTAGCGAGGACTTCAGAGAACAGCTCGTGCCGCGTTCGCAGTATAGCGGCCCGAAGAAGTCCGAGCTAGCGTTTTACTTTTGCTTTTCCCGCCTCTCCCACCCGGAATTTCAAGATCCGGTTAGTTCGTTTGCGTCTCCTGCGAAGCCAGTTCGTTACGCTTTACAGTTCGAGTGCGTATCGAACGCCAGATTTGGTTCGCCACCATCCGGAAGGGAAGAGTGAGTGGACGGAAAAAGCTGTGTCCGTGCGTCTGCACACAAGCTAGTGTGAAGCTTTAGCTTGTCTCAGGCGCGCTTTACCTCATCGCACGTAGTGCAAACGATGCTTCACCGTCGTAAACCCTCCTCCTCCTCCATGCTATCAGAAATGCCAGGACTTGGTTGCGAACGTTTGTCATGATGGCAAACCGGAGCGAGGAACGTACAAAGTGCAGGCATGCCCCGCTTCAGTATTGGATTCTCAAGCTTCAGGAACCTAAGTAGTTCAGCACTTGAGAGGTTTTTCACCAGCCCACATCGCAGTGGTTCGAGATCCATGATTTGCGAGCTGGATGCCTCAGCTGGAAACGTGCATGCATGAGTCATCTTCGGCTCCTGCTTTCTAAGCTGCAGGTTACGCCGGTTTTGCCACAAATGGTTGCGTTGACGGAAAGTTACATCCAGGTCTACCAGAGACAGGACAGCACAATGATGGATTTGTGGCCTACATGAGCACTCCAGCTTGTTGTCCCCCACAAGAAGCGGGTTTGATTCCGGCTGTCGCTTTGAGGCAGATAGCCTTTTCTGATATGAGACTGGCAGGATGTCAAGCCTGATGGGTCCTTCGGCAAATTCGACGCCGAAATTCCGGATTTGCTGGCAGAGGCCCACCGCGTCACACGAGGCGCATCATGGCACGACAATTCCTATGATTCGTGGAGGCAGAACCTGGTGTGGCTGCAGAGATCGAAATGGCACCGGAGGCCTTGGACACATCCGTACATTGAAAGCAGTCCTGACACGGTAGCTATGACACAGAGAGCAATGTGTCATGGAGTATGAACTCTTCACCTCAGGACCTGGCCGAAGCCGGTATCATCATCGGCTGAGTGCGTGGCGATGTGTTTGGTTTGGCGATCCTAAGCTCTCATTGTCGCGCAACTTAAACAGGTGTTTGAAACGACCGACGCTCAGTCCAGACGTTAAGGTAAGTTATTGCCTTCGTGCTGGCGCATGGAGGCAAAGCTAAAGTATTATAGGCCCTCAGACCTGGAGATGCGCGCAGAGATCAAAGCTTTGCTCTTCATGACGCGAACGATGAGCTTTGCAACGGCTCGGCTGAGTGCCTTGCACTAGAGGTCTTCAGCCTTGGTGAAAGAACCCCTTTCGGTTCAGCTGTCGCCATGGTGGCGCGACAGGGGTCAGGGCTGTGAATGAAGCGTGCGCAGCACGTGCGGAAGCCTGGAACGAAAGAAGCCGCAGGTCCTAGATTTTTGCGGGTTGAGCTCAGGTCTGTGCTTCCATGGGGCGGTCCATTTTGGCCTGCCAGCTGAGAGAATCCACGGCGGTACAGTCCATGTCCCGCACGTGCTGCGTCTCCGCTAGCTAGCTGAAGGCATGGCTTCTTCTGTTCACACACTTCAGTGTGTCTTCCACCAAGGACGGAACGGGTTTGTCTGGCTGTGTGCACGGCATGAACCCGAAAGGAGTCCACAGATGACCTGCGGTCCTTCTTGGACCAGCTGCACAGGAGCTCTTTTGCGGGAGACCACCTGGCAGAAGCACTCTGCTTTTCAGCGCTTTTCAGGAGACTTTCGGAACAGCTCGAGCTGCAAGAGCAGCAGCAGGAGAGCAGGCCTTGATTTCTTCCGCCAATCCTAGCGTCGGATGCGACGGATGCTACGTTACAGAGAGGCAAGCTTGGTGTCACAAGAACCTTCAGTTCCTTGCAGATGAGGGCAAGCACGCTGAAGGCAGAGGGTCCTCGGCCGTTGGATGAAAAAACGTACACACAGGCAGGTTCTGAGACAAGTCCTTGTCTCGAAGGCATCATCGAGAGTCTGCGTGGCACCGTTCGGAAACTGAAGAACACCAAGGCGCAAGTCGTCACGCATGGCAGCGTTCCATTTGAGTTTGGGACGCAGTGGGCGTGAGGATGACAACATCCTGCTTGTGCAGCTCACGGAGGCTCTGGCCGGTGGTGGTGGCACAGTGGCACAGGGGCAGTGCAGGGTCTGTTCGCCTCCAGGATGGCAACGCGACTCACGCGACAACTCAGAGCCAGGAGCTCGCCCTGCAGCTTTCTACGAAGGCCGCCCGGCGATCTCAAAAGAAGTCCGACGGAGTCCGAGGGGTGTGGTTGTGACAGGCGCAGCTTGCCGAAGCTCAGGAGCGGCTGAAACTTCGAGGCCTAACCGACAAATCTGCACGCCATGCCCTCTGCGAGCGCCGTGGGAGCTTCGAAACATCTCGAGATCCAAAGAAATGTGCGGCTTTGTGGTGATGCCCGAACCGCCCCAAATAACTGTCAGTGATCAGATGATGAATGCGGCGTGCTGAAATAGCAGCAAATTCAGAAAAGTTGAAAGCTGCGCATAGATCGCATAGGCAATGATGGGCTCGGCGGCTAGGTCGGCAGTAAATCTAATGTGAGACTTCAGTAGTGGTGCAAGCACTTTTCCTCGTGCTGTCAAGCCTTCTGCACGCCCAAAGATGCCCGTGCTGGGAAAGAAATCCGGATTTACCCAGTCCCAGGAAATAGACCAAAGGTGTGTCAAGTGGCGTTTCGCCTGAACCCTGTGCACCTTTGGAGAACCTGAGGAAGCAAGTCTGCCAACTCTTGAAAGTCAGTGGGGGTCATGGTTAACCTCGATTGATGCAAGCATCCTGATCCTCTGATGCGCCCATCTCGATGCGAATGCATCCTTTGGCTGGTTGGCTTCATCATGTTCGGCCCTCGTTTGCGTGAAGGGGGGACAGAAGCCCTGGCACAGACCCAAAACGGATTCAGCACCAGATATCCCAGCATAAGGGCTTTCAAGCGGTTCGGCCTCCAGTTAGCTGCAGGTGTGGCTTCGTCAGCAACTCATCGGTTGGCAGCTTCATTGAGGCCACCAGCCAAGCAAGGATGGGTGCATCGAGGAGGGGGCGGAAACTTTGCCCGCCCACGCAAGGCAAACCTGTGAGGCAGCGGAGAAGCGGAGCGCATCGCAGCAGAAGGTACCGAGAGAGACCCGAGGGCCAAGACCCTCACAGAAGCCATGGCCAGGCTCTGCAAGATCAGATCTCCTTGCTGCGGACTTCGACCGAGGCACCGGGCCCTTGCATGTGGCACGTCACAAGCACACACTCCCCTGCGGGGGGGGGCCAGGCCATCTCTGCGGCAGAGGTGGGGTGCATGGGGTGCATGGGGGGCATGACAGACTCCTGACGGCTGGTTCCTAGAGGGTTCTGTCTCGAGGCGCTGCATCGGATTGACGAGTCGAAGGTCAGGGATTGTGGGGTGTGTATGCAGTACACAGCGGTGCATGTGCTCACGGTTTGGTTGTCACGATGCAGTCCGAGTGCGCTCGATTGTCTTTGGTGTGAGGTCAGCTCGAGCCTGGGTGAGGCAGGACAGCATGTAGCGTGCTGAGATGTGCTGAGCAGTGCCTGAGACACAGGTGAGTTTCCTTCAAATGACAAGCGACAGTGTGCACTGCTTAGACTCCATACAGCTATGATCACTTCGAAACCCTTGCCTGGCATTACGAGGCTGCAGAGATTCCCGACCTCCTTTCCCTGTTCAGGAGGCAAGGGCAGGGACATGCTTCGTGGCCTATGATTCCCAGTCTGTCGTCAGGCCAGAGCCTTCGAACAGCGAGGATGCAACCTGTGGTTGCAAAGAATGCCTGTGACCGGCTGTGACGACTTTCAGGACCTGGAAGAGCTGTCGCTGCCTTTCCAGTCAAGGCAGAGAGCTGCTCTGGTGGGCTTTCAGTTTCTAGCGGCGAGCCTTTGCAGGCCGAGCGAGGCTCACATGCAGGAGGTGCTACCCGTCAGCATCCCAGCAGGCTTCAAGGTATTGCAAGTGCCCGTGCTCCACCAAGATGCCTTACACTCGTCGTTCGCCCAGCCCGGCTTCTTATTCTGACCGTTTTGGGATCTTAAGCAGTGGAGAAGGGCCAGTTTCCAAACTACATATCAGAGACATGATTTTGGCCTCTGCCAATCGCGCAATGGGAATGGAGCGTCCTCATGCGCCTTTCGCTGCTGGCTGCCTTGTGGTCTTCACCTGGTGCGCACGCGTGCCATGGCCCACGCCGAGTCACGAAAGCTTTCCTAGCCATCCACGCGGTGTCTCATGGTGTCTCCCTTGCTGCTGAGGCATCTTCATCGCCCAGCTGCTTGCCAGAAATGGCTAGCATAATTCCTTCGATTGCCAAGTATCTGCAATCTCTCCTTCAGGAACCTGCCGTGAACGTGTCTCGCACACCGCATTTCGACTGCTCCGATGCGGCCCTCGTGACGGCATTGCAAACCGACGGCTTTGCAGTGGTGAGGCATCGCCTTGGATGTGCTAGCGGCATCCCGGTGGACGGCCTGAGAGTAGTGGATCCTAGACGCTGGCTCTTCAGGCAGGCAGCCGAGCCCGCCGACTTGTCTCGGGCATGGGATCTACTGTGGAAGCTGATGTGGCAGGCTGAACCAGACCGGAAGAGTTTGATGGGCTAAGCTTGTGTCTGAAAGGAGGTCGGTTGGGACCGACGTGACGCTTCCACATGGACAGACGAGAGCCTGGCAAGGCTGGATCCAGGATCTGCTTCCAAGTATCATACAGCCAGGGTTCTGTGCTCTGGCTGGAGCTCCAGACTCCACGTGCTTCGTCTAGTGCAGCTGCAAAAGGAGCATGGGCCACGGGGATACTTTCTGCAGATCGCATCGGTGCCTCGATTGCAGCTTAGAGTTCTGGGAAGGCGGGCGATGCCGTGCTGCCTGCTCCTTGGGGTAGATGCAGAGCAGGGCAGTCCGAGCTGGCCTGGCTGATACGAAGTCTGCCTCGTGTGCGCTGTGCCTTCAGTCGATGCCTCGCAGGTTGTTTGCATTGTTGTCTCTCGATTGGCATTAGTTGGCATCATAAGCCAATCTCGTGCCTGAGGACGAATTTGGGGAACGGACGATCTGTTGACCTCCTTCGACGGGATTAACATTTTCCGGCCTTGGCAATTCGGCTTTACCAAGACGGAAGGCGATTGGTTCCACGTGGACCAGGCTGATGCCAGTCTCAAGCGTCACTCGCATCGCGATCGCGCTTTGATCTTGTTGAAGTGTTCAAGTGTTCTGGACTGCAGGGTCGTGGACGTCAAGGATTGCAAGCCGTACAAGGGTTCGTCTCCCTTACCGATCAGGATGAATTCACCGGCGGCTTGTATGTTGTGCTTGGCTCCCATCAGAACCACAGCCACGTGGTTGCATGGCAGGACCTGTGCAGAGTTGCCACGTCAACATCCCTTCGCACGCAAGAAATCCCCCGGAAGGATTGGCCATCTCACCCAGCAACTTCCAGCGACTTCTACCGCCTTCCCTGGTGGAGCCCCGTGATGGCGCAAGCCAGGAGGTGTGCCACGGCATGTGTTGTGCGGTTTTCTGCGTGGTGCTGTCATATGCTGTCATGTAGTGCTTGAGAGACAGGCTGGTCCTTTGCCGCGCCGGTGACCTCGTGTTGTGGGACAGTGTCGGCACCGTTTTTAAAGCATTTTGGATGAACAAGCGCACATCACATGTGAAAGCAAGGCCGCACTGCCCACTGCAGCGGACCAGCGCTGAAGAGGCAGAGCGACACGCGTCTCACTTTGTTTGATCTCGAAACTCTGTTCCGCCGAGACCGCACTCCGAGCCGAACCGACTTCTGCGAGCCGCAGTTTACGCTACTTGGCTGCGAGCAGCTCTCGGAAAGTGCGCAACCAGAGTTGGGTCATGGGTCAGGTCTGCATGACGCCGAAGAGCTGGGCAACGCCGATGGCCCTACGAGCGAGACGGCTGGCCTACGCACAGGGGCTGTCCGGGCCTTAGAGACATGTCAAACGAGACCAGCAGTGATGCCACATCAAAGACTTGCGCACCCATTGCAGGACGACAGGTCGTTGGCCTCACCTAGAGCCTTGGCAGCGCCAGAGTCTAGTTCGTTCCACGAACCGCGAACGTCTAGCTAGCTCTGTGACAAACCTGCGGTACTCGTAGCTGCCTGGCATGCCAGCTTGGCTCGTATCCTTTTGAGGAGCCCAAGAGAACATCATCCCCACTGAGTTGGCAGCTGGAAGAGCAGGCGGTGTTGACGTGGCAGGCATCAATTGCACCACATTGCACAATGCCGTGGTCGAGGTTTTTTGTAGGTTGGTTTCTCATGGATCCTTTAATCAAGGCCGCTGATGCAAAGCGGAGAGATCTGATTGGCTGACCTGATGCGATGCGGAAAAAATATCGCGCTGAGCTATGCAGGACTTCTGGATTCCATCGCATTAGAATCATCAGAATTTCAATGACCAGCGTCTGAGAATCCGAGGCCATGCCACAGGAGCAACGTCCGAGAGTGGTGGAGCTTCTCGCCAAAATGCAGAATGACGATTCCTTGGAGCGCCGGAGCCTGAGCACCAAAAGCGCCATTTGCAGCTCCCTAAAAGGGCCGCAGGCCGCAGGCCGCAGCTGTGCAGATGCTCAGGTTCCAAGAAGATCACCTGGTGCAGCGAGGCGATGCCTCGATACGAAAGCTCCATGGGCAGACCGAGACGCTTCCTCTGCACTCGTGAGGAGCGCCAAAGGGAGAGAGGCAGCCTTGAATCGGCGCGGGCATCAGCGATGCTGTTCAGTGCAGATGCCCGTGCGCATGAGCACATCAAGGCCGGGGAGGAGACGGGCTGCCAACCAGGCGTGTCGCTTGCGGATCGGCAGGCTCAGCTGCAGGATGAGCTGGACCACATCCAGAAGACAAGCGAGAATTGCGATGGGGTGCGCTGGGACAAGACAGGCTGACTTCAATGATGCACTCCGCATTTCAGGCCCTACGCACTGTCCTCCAAGATGCCACCAATGTGTCCCAGGCTCGGATAGGACTCGGTCGTGCGGCGATCCGACGCGCAGAAACTGCAGTTCAGTTGCACAAACAGCTTCAGCGCTGAGTTTGGCACGAAGAAAGCACCAGTCAGAACAGCGGCGGCAGCATGACCCGCAGCAGTGGCTGCAGCAGCATCAGCAGCAGCGGCAGCCGGAGCAGCAGTAGGAGCAAGCATCACCAGCAGAAGCACCAAGGCAACGCGCATGCAACAAGGGTAGCAGCAGGCTTTAGACGATGGTTTGAGGGCTACAACCAACAAGCGAACAGACATCCATGCAGAGTCCAGATGTGTGGTGTTTGTTGGGAGAGCCGAGAGGCCTTGGATGGCACAAGGCAGGACGACGCCGTCGCTGCCAAGGCAATGACTTTTGTGCTACGGCCGATGCCGATTCTTCTCGCTGTGCTTGCTTTGCTCCCTTCACTGCTTGAGTTGTGCTGTTGTGTAGGTGCTTAACAAAGCTCTGAACGGCCTTACAAGCCTTCGAGACCAATGGTGGGGTCCGAGCCTAGTGTGTGACGTCCTGTGTTCGGCAGAGTCGACTGTTGCCAAAGAAGCCGACCGCAGAAACGCGTTCATCTTTCACTTAATGTGCCATTGTCAATTGCGTTTCCAAGCCTGTTGATTCGCTGTGAAGTTTGCAGCCCGCGCTCTCTGTACATAATTTCATGATACTCAGCGGGTCGTAAGATCATCCAGAGCTCAGGGTTCGGCTTGAGGCTTGGCTTTTTCTGGTTGATTCGTGCAGGCAGTCTGCACCGCCTGATCGGCTACCAACGGAACAGCAACCCATCAGATTGATTGAACCGAGTTGTCAGCATGAAACACTTGGCAGGCTGCATGTCGTATTCCAAGTACAGGCTAGTCGTTCATGACAATTGCGATGCTCACTCATGCGTTGCAATGTGTCCTTTGTGCCAGTGAAGAGGCACTGTCTGTCAATGAGGCTGGTATTTGATGAAGCAGGCTCGTGAATTGACCGCAGGAACACAACCATCTGAGCAGGACTCTGTTCTTCTTTCGAGCGTCCACTTGGAAGATATGGCGAGCCTAGGCCACGAAACGAACAACCCAGTTGGCACGGCCATGCAGCTCGGCAAGCAAAGACTTTCTCAAGAGCCGGATCGCCATAAACTACCACAACATGTTGCATGGCTGTAAACGTCATGTGGATCTGAGGACGTCCTTGACTGGCGTCAAACAATCCTTTGAGGCCCAAGCAGAGGCGTGCGAAGGCCCACAAGGGCAGCAGTTTCCCAGACGACACACATGCTCGGCACTGACATGCTATGCCGCTATGCGAATGCGGGTGGCGACGGCGTCAGGTCTGCAGAAAGAGTCGAGCGACTCTGCCAAGATGGTCGCCGGACGTGCCCGTGACCTTTTGGCAGCGTTGAAGCCTCAGAGGAACGAGACAAAGATGCGTCCTCGCCTCACTGCTCTGCTCAATTGCTGCTCTGATGTCCGAGTAGCCAGGGTGAAAGGGTGTGGCTCAACTCGCCCGGCTCTCGTCCTTCCTTGGTCCAGGCTGGATGCCGAGGGCCGAAAGCTGGAGCTCATGCGTGACTTCTACGCCAAACGGAAGAGACGAAGCACGTCGATGAAGGACTTGTACGACTCGCAGGCAGCGTAGACTCCCATGACATGAGCATGTGCCGCCGTAGCATGCTGATGAGTCCTCGTGGCAGGTCATCTCAGCCGAGGCTTATCTGAGAAGTTGCCACCTGAGCATGGTGTAGTGATAAAGATCATCCTTGTGTCCGACTTTGCACGTCAGCTGGTTGGAACGATCTGCGGACCGAGACCTGGACCAATCATGCGGCACCGGCGTTCTGGAGCAGCAGTCACATGAGACACAGGCAGCCACTCCATCCACAGATTCTGCGATACCGCAGGATCAGGTTAGCATCAGGTCATGGCGGTCATGGATCACTGCGTGCAGGCGGATGTGCGCGCATTGAACGATGCTGACATGGTCTTCAAGGGGCAACCGATTAAAGTCCTTCGCTCGGCTGACTCTTTGTGAGATACTGAGACCCGGTTACTACACGGCGATGCCACATGCGAAGGCTCCACATCTTCTGCGGGGGTCTTCGAAAAGCTTGTCGTGTGCCTGGCATGCTTGGAGAGAGGTTTCGGCTGACCTCAATCTGCACTTTCTGTCGCTCTGCTGGCCTAAGTCATGACTAAGAGAGCCGGCACGCTTCAACAGGCCAGTGGAAGAGGCAGCGCTGGCGATGGGGGTTTCGATAGACTGAGCTGGCCTGTGCGTGAGCAAAAGTTTAGCTGGATGTGGGTTTGGATGTGGGTTCTGATGTGGGTCAGCCATGCTCTGCATTGCAACCTGGTTGCTTTCTTGGCTCAAGAGTCAGCTTCGATTGATTTGTATAGGCTGAAGATGGCTGCTGACGGTGTGAGAAGACAGGCTGCGGAGGCAAGGGGCAATCTTTGGAAGCTGTACTTGCAGAGCCTGCGTGTGCTCTGAACTCAGAGAGACAATCCCTGAAGGGAAGATTTATCCTGGATTTGTCGCGCTTCGGGAGCCCGATCCGGCTGGATGTCACGGCGTTTGCCGAGAAGGTGCGCAGCGACAAATGGCTGCTGCTAGCGGCATGCCTCCTCATCGACTTTATTGGTGACTCTGCTTTGTTTCGGAATGCTTTGCCCTGCCACTGTGCAAGTGTTGAGTCGAGTTCATCCGAAACAGTCAGCAGTCAGGGGTCGTAGCCGATGTTTTGCAGGAATGGCCAGCTACATGGTCCTCCTGCTTGGTGAGGCAGAAGGGCACTGCCAGCTTGGGAATTCGGACCGTTCCTTCCTAATGTCCTGGAGAAACTAAATCGGTTGAGGCTTCCAGTCGCCTTGCCTGACGTTCCCGCAGGTCACTGACATCATGTGGGCACCCTTTGCTGGTTTCCTTTTGCAGTGCCCCGGAACGACGAAAGTGTTTCAAGCCCAAGAGGCGCAACCGTCAAGCAGATGCTTCACTTAAGGTATCTGTTTGGGAGCTGGCTCGTCTCTTCGCTGGGTGCGCTGGAAGAGTTCCTGCCGTTTACAGACATTCTGCCAACTGCGACTCTAGCGTGGGAGCTTCGGCAGCCTGGGTGTGGTCCGTGGCTCCAGATGTGGCATTCTTCGCCTGTGTCGTTTGTGCGAGAGCTGAGGCGATTTGCTACCTGGAATGCCTGAGATTCCTACGGGTGCTTCTGGGGGTGCAGCGGCACTCATCGCACGGAGAATTGGCCAGCGACCACAGTCACGATGATTGACGTGACAGCGCGTTGCGTCACAAGGGCAAACTGTGGAGACGACTTAGCCGGTGCGGCAGACGTGCACGCCCAAAGTGTACATACTTGTATGTTACATGCATAATTTTACACGCGGCAACGGGCACGCCCGAAGGTTGCAAGGACGCTGTTGCCTGTAAATTCAGCATAGCCCCTGTTAGAGTGGTGCTAGAGCGGTAGAGACGGCGAGATCGGTTTGACCATGACTGCACAGTACCAAGGCATGCATGGACCAAGCTGTTCTGCATTGTCATCGGATGTGTTTGAGCAGTTGGAAGCTGCTCGCCCGTATCTCTACAGCACCCTGAATCAACGTAGAGCCACCTCAGAAACACTTTCAAGAATCATCGTAGAAACACCTGAGAAACACTTTCAAGATTGCTTGTGCTGGAGGCAGCTCGAAGATTAAGTCCCCAGCAGCAAAACCATTAATCTGAAGCTGCAGTTCATTGACACATCGCTCTCACATCATGTGGATCGCGAGATCACTGTGGAGCCGGCCTGATTGGGGATTGTGTCGAAGTCGGATTGCCATGAATGGTGCTTTTCGCGAGGCGAAATTTGGGTTGCACAGCGATGGCAGCCATTCCGCAGAGGCCTTGCAAAGCAGGCGGGCTGTCCGGTTCAGAAATCTCCGGAAAGATAGAGCAGTAACGCCTTCCACTGCCACAGTGAGGATGCTTAAAACCACTGCTCGGAGCAAGGAAGAACTAAGTCGTCTCATTATATCCTAGGGGTTCTCTGGTCACACGACAGAAAGGGACACCAGGTCGCTGTACAAGCATCGCCGCATCGCTTTTCCTACTACCTCTGGGTATTCAGCATTCCCGCGAGCAACGTGAGTGAATGTTGCGTTATTAACGACCGGAGGAAACAGGTGAATCAACACCTTAGACCACCGAGTAGATCCCGTAGAAAGGTTGGGTTTCTGAGAATAGTTGAAAACATCCAATGACCGCCCAGAAATGTCCTATGCAAACAAAAATCTTGTAGGCACACTCGAAAACACAGATAAACCTCGAAACCCCCGACCTCCCCTGTAAGCTCCAAGAGCTTAGCGTATGAGGATTCTAATCGCTTCTGGGAGGTTGTGAGGGGTCTTGGTGTTCATGCCGCTGACCCCGCACAGTATGTTTTGGAATTTTGGAACATGACGTACCATTTCAGTAAACCCTACAAGCAAGCTGAAAGAAAAAAATACCATGCCAAACCCTAGGCCTTCCCAAGCCTGTATAGAAGTCTAGACAGACTCTTATGAGAGTATTGCGGGAATACTTGTAAATCCTTCCCCACTACATTGCTGAAGTTGAATAAGCAGACAACCGCAGAAACCTCTAGGAGACACCGGAAACTAGAAACCATGAAAATCCTACCTAAGAGAGACACTCGAAGATTTTCAGAACAACCCCAAGTCCAAGAGCCTAAAGATGTGCTGCATTCCGAGAAACTCATGGAGGCTCATAGAGACCTTACCAAAAAGGCTTCCCCTGGCCGTGCAGGACCACTTCAGAACCCCCACCCAATCAAAGAAACCCAAAGAGCAAACTGACAAGTACAACCACGAAAGGCACCTAAAAGGCTGCCGACTCTCAAAAACTCGCAGACAGGTGCCTCGAGAGCCTTTGTGTCCCTGACGTCTCGCTGTAGCTTGACTCGGCCTGGGCCTGTCACCAAGCGTCTGGAAAGCATCTGCGAATGTCTGCGACCCATGCTTCGTCTGCTCACCAGGCCGCTGCCTACCTCCAGCTTTTTGCCCATGAGGTGGAGCGCCGGGACCGCGGGTTATCATTCGCGATCACATTGACCGATGGCGGGTTCTCCATGCAGGCCGTGGCAAGCAGCGTCGGCATCAGCACAGGCAGTGCAAGTGCGGTCGTGCGCCGACGGGACACTGCACGCAGGGTGGTTTGTCATGTGTTTAAGTGCTTCGTGCTGTGCAGACATCGTTGCCGGCAGGTACAACTTACGAAGGGTGATCCCTTGGTTTCGCGTGAGAACTAATGTCAGGGTCTGAGAAGGAAGAACCTTGCAACACGATGCCGTGATTGGACTGGAGCCTCTGTGTGCGTTTGTGTGTCGGGTCGTGTAAATGAAGTACTTTGTGATGCCCAGTGTTGAATCCTGCTCCTCGGCAGCAGCTTTCTCACCGCAGTCACGGATCGTGGCAGACGCTTCCATTCCGACCCTAGGGAGCCTTGACACGAGGATGAAGATAGCGTGCTACGCGGCCGGGCTCAGGTCCTGAAGCAGGAGACGAAGATGCGGACGACAAAGAACCGAAATCATGCAGAGGCCGCAGCTTTGAACTTCTGAGCTTTTGCGAGATGCCGCCGCAAACTGCGCAGGTTCTGAAGCGATTTCGCTTGACACGTTTCGGATGGGAACGTCGGCGCGCACATCTTCGAGATGGGCCTTGCTGGCTTGTTGTCATCACACTGCTCGCGTTCCAGATTTATCATCCTCAGATTGTTTGTCCTTGGAGACGATGGCCAACGAGCACTTCTGAAGTTAAGTCTGAACCCGACAGTCATCCCAACCGTTCCCAGCCTTTGTGGTGCTCCCTCCTGATTGCAATAGACGATGTCGCCTGGTGCTGCCTCCAATGTCAGGAAAAAGCGCAGGCGGAGTCCGCAACAAAAGAGGTGAACGACTTAGTCTTGAGCAACATGCGTCCAAGTGGGATTGCAGTGCCTTATAGTGCCTTGCAGTGCTGAAAGCACTTCTGAGGAACACGAACAAGATAGACTTCGTCCACCGCCACGACATGCTCAAGATGGTTCGAACGGCCACGTGCGCGTCTGTTTCGTCAGCAGGCTTTGTGCAGAAGTTGGATGCATCCTAAGACGGTCACTACTACTGGCTGCTTCGTGCTTGCAAGCCGGAGGTACTTCAAATTGCGTATTCGCGATTTTCCGAAGGATCCGAATCCGAACATCAAATCAACTCGCGCAATAGTTGGGAGCCACTTCGGGTAGCATCAAGCAGCTGCCCTTGATCAATCAGCACCATGGTACCAACTCTGTACTGCTTTGCATTTCTACATTGTCACTTATTCAATCGACTTTGCAGTCCCAGTTCCTCAGCTATACCAGAGACAGCTCTGCGCAGCCTTAAAAGTTTCGAAAGAGAAAGTGGCGGATAGCGTGCGACAGCCGCACAGGTGTACATAGGCCGATTGCTATGCGGGTTCTGCTGCGACCCGAAAACGAAGACAGAAGCAAGCGGCTTTGCCAGAACCTCGAGCCACTAAAGTGCAGGGACGGTTTGTTGCCTGGTATGGGGTGACTGCCACTGTACAAGACTATACATTGTGCAGCGTTTCGGGCTTTGTTCTGAGATCATGTCGATGGTGACGGATGCAGACGCATGTGGCTGCGAACTGCCGATAACTCGTAAGTAAGTTCAAGGAGACTTGCAAGCGGTGACAGCATCAAGTCTTATTATATGAGCATGCCTCCGTTTGTATACACACGTGCTCTCCTGTTTATCTTTAACAAAGCGACGCGCATACACCCCCCCCCACACATACATACACAGATACACACATCATTTGTTCATTCGCAGCTATCCCGTGAGTTCACGAAAGCTGAGTCGGAGCCCGCTATTGGGACCCAATGACCTTTGCTGGTGCCCATCGCTGTCCCTCCAATCCCGAGGGCACGGGCGCAACAGCGACATAGCCGACTCCACTCACCCAGAATGCAGAAAGAAACCGAGCAAACAAGAGAGCAACAGAGTCAAGTCGGTCGCCAACACACTTGGATCAAAACTGCTTGCTGCCGAGGGTAGCCTACTTTAGAATATCCATTAGCTCGTCCAAAAAAGTTTGAAGTTCGCGCTCAGGGCCTGTTTTGGGGGCCTGTCCCCGTTTGACTTCCCCACGCTTGTCGGTCAGTTTGTCGACCAACAGCTTCAAGACTTGCTCAGCGGAAGCGTGCACTGCGAAACACACTTTCACTTTGCCCTTCTGGCTTCTGCCCTTGCGTATTCCTGGCGGGACTGGCGGATATCTGCGTAGACTCTTCTCCTCAGCTCACTGACTAGCACCTCCAGCATAGACAGCCGTGGTGAGCACTGCAGCTTGAAGCTCTCTCATTTCCATCGCGTGTTTCAGCGACAGCTTTGCCACAACCTGCATGCCCTTCATCAGGAACTTCTCTGATCCTCCGGCTTGTTTTTTTACTGGCCTGCTCGTTGCTAGCACCTCTACGCTTGTTGGAGAGATTCCGAGAAACAAGCGTCGTGCAGCACAGCTGAGGATTAGGTGCCTGCCTGATGTCCTTGAGGGTTTGGAAGCTGCATGTGTGTAACAACGTGAGCAAGTATCGCATCCAGACTAGCACGTACCTCGTCACATGTCGGACATCTGAGTTCCCTCGGGACTGTAACCTTGTACACAAGGCTGCTACCGGCACCTGTGCACAATGTGCGTCGAATGTGCTCTTTAGCGGATGCCTTCGACTGGTAAATGTGTTTACACCACGGACATATGTTAGCCACTGCGACGCGTGCAACAGGAGACCATATGCCGTGCATACCGCCTCGCATGCATGTCTTCTGAAGTGACAGAGCAGTGTTCGAGGCAAAAGTTTGTCCACACTCCCGCCCATCCGCCAGTGTGCGACCATATACATACGTCCTCGCAGCTTCCGGCATCTCTTGCGCATCATCCCCCACATCGTCTGTTGGCAAATCAGGGTCCTGGAGGATGTGGTAAGAAGGTACCTCTGATATCAGAAACATCAACGGCCAGAAAATCCTGAACTCTGTGAACAAGAGCGCGATGAGATCGCCTGCGTACGCCAACAACTGTTGCCCTGCATCGATTGCCTCCAGACCCGTGATATCATTTTTGAACCGCTCAGCCCAGGAATTGCCCCCTTCTCGCACTCGTCCATTCTCATCCACCGTTGATGGTATACTCTTATCTGTCTCAAACCGCAAATCACCCAAAATCGCAGATACCACTGCTCTGTGACATTGGAATGAGGAGCTGTATACATGATTGTTCCGTCCTGAAGCTGTGCTTTCTTGCATGCTTGTCCCCGCATAAGTTTTCGTCCATGTCCCAGGACCTTACTATCCAGCTGCTTCTCGTGGCAATCTCGTAAAACCAACGCCTCAAGTCCCGACAACAACGCAGTGTATACCGACAGTTTCCCACGCTTCCCTCCTGTGCCACGAGACCAGAAGAAACCCATCCGCATCCAGCAGAGCTGAGCTCCACTTCGTCTTGCACCTGTCTCTTGAAATGTTGCCACCCGCACAAATATTTAGCTGCCAAGTTGGTGGTCCCAGGAAGGCGTTCTGACTGATGCGTAGCTTTGTTGTTTTCTTTGCTATGTTTGCCACCAAACCAGACTGCGTGCTCCTGTTTGGATCCGTTTTGTGCAAGTGTGCTCGTATGCATTCGTCCAACGAGCGGTTGATGCGAGAGATTTTGTCCACACAGTCCGTTGCAAATGAACACAATGTGACCCTGCTGATGTCGTCTGCATAGGTAGACATCGCCAATTTGAAACAAGTGGCATAAAGGGCCTGTCCCCAAACCAGCTGTTGACACTGTGAATCCCAGCGATCCAATGAGGATGAAATGGCTCAAGAAGGGGCTGAGCTGAGGGTCCATATCCCTGTAGTGCCCCGGATCGCGGTCTGTAATCTGCAAATCCCTCCCCCGTCTCAATTCTGACTGTGGCCTCCCCCAGCCGTTGTCGCCAAAGTGGTCTATCCACAACTGTGGAAAAGCGTTGCTGACATCAAAGAAACTGCGAAAGTGTGAGGTTCCAAGACTGTGGAGTTTAGCGGCAACAGTGTGTTGTTGGCACATACGAGTAGCCTCTACTCGTGACCGTCCCTGGCAATATCCAGCAGCATATGTCCTAGCCCCGGAAGGACAGTCAGAATAGAAAGCACTCCCGACCGGGTCCAACGAATTGATGACTCGAATAGCACTGCACCCAGCTTTTCCATTGTCCTAGTCCAACTGAATACCCCGACTGTGGTGCCACTGACCTGGAACACGGGTCCACATTCGAATTGAAATGAAAAGGTGCTGCAGCCACTGTCGTATGAAAGGTGCTTCATGTTGACATGCGACGTATCCGACCCCACTGGGCAAAGTTGTGCGATGTTATTTTGGATGCAGTAGCTGTCGCCACACTTCCGTGGGGGCGGACCAATCAGGGCATGTCTTGCGTAGTTTCTTCTTGTGAACAATCCGCATAAAGAAACCTTTGAAATCCGAGTTGGCCTGCTCAACCACATCCCACACATGACGCGAAGGTCTATCACTGTAACATGTTGTGAATCCCGGAACTTTGGTTGCCAGCCATCCACCATCCTGACCTGGTTTGGCCAGGTGCACATCCCAATCAGAAAGCGAGGGTCGCACTGATACCGGTTTGTTGCAAACCCTTTTCTTGGGGCCAATTGACCCGAGTGACAGCAAGCGTGCGGTGGTCCACATGTTGGAGAAATCCCGCCGTGCCCAGAAGTACTCGAAATCATGTACCACTGCGCGGTTTCTATACTGTTCATGTTGCTTAGCCAGGTTGTCCAACTGAGAACGTGCCTTCCAAAACATGACCAGTGCAGACAATTGCCGCAGCATTGCAGACACTTCAGAATTCGAGAATGAACCCCACAATATATTTTGAAGTCGAGCTGATTGTGGCAAGGATACAAGATTATAGTGACATTGAACCATATGTTCATGAGCCTGCTTTGTATCATCAGGATCCATGTAATGTTTTGAATGTTGCTGATACGCTTCTCGCCGTGCATCAACCACGGCCTTGTTGATGTCCGCGCACAACTCATCTGGAGACTTGTCCTTGAAGGACTCAAGACTATGACGCGCCAGACTGGTCTCACATGCAGTAAGAAGCTCTAGACGATGCAATCCGGCAAAGACCCCTTCAACCAATGCGGCGCGATCCCATGCAAACGACTCTCCCCGCTCGTTGAAATTGTGCCGATGAGCGAAAACCACTAGCAACGGCATATAATCACGTTTGCCCGCCACTTGTATGCACTGAAGCCGTTTGCCAGCAGCGAAAACAACTTGACATCGATCCACTCGTGATAACATGGAGTGCGGAAGACAAACATAGTGAATCCTTGAGCTGTTGCCAAACTGCCCGTAGAAAGTGTCCCCAGACATGTCGAAAGAGTTGACTGCTGCCACGTTGTGTTTTTGCATAAATGTCCGCATCTGCTCCCTGTTGTAGTTTTCAGCAACAGGTTGACATGGACCAATGCTAGGTGAAGCTAGGCCGTTTCCAATTCTGGCATTCGCATCCATGAACAGAATGGGTACGCACCTGTGGGGCATCTCTGCCAAGAGGTGGTCTGTCCACATTCATAGATTTTGTATGTATGTTTTTCCGCTTTACTTCGAGGGTTGATGGGAACGTACATGTTGAGCACCAGGAAATCCATGCCGCCACGTTTGATGCGCAAAGCTCCGACCCTTCCCTGAGACTCTTCTGGAGGGGAGTGTACACGTACGACATGAAGAAGCTTGAACAACTTGGATCTGATCACGGTGACCAAACCAGCCGCCTTTCCGGCTTGTGTAGAATATCCCCATCCATATATGTAATGTGAGCCAACGGTGCGCATCTCCACGATTTCTCGCGTTTTTCTTTGTGTGCCCTGAAAACAAATGAGAGCGTTCCACCGCAAGTCTGATATGATGTGTTGCAGTCTGCGTTGCTGGGCAAGTGAAAGTGGGTTATATGAAACACAACTCCACAGAGGCATACCTTCCATAATGTGTCCAAGCCGATGGGCAAGTTGGGGCACCGTTTCACTGGACGTCTGACTGCATCCAGCCGCTTATGCCAGCAATAGAGAAGTGCGGCTCAATGCGGCTCACATACACACATACCGACATGCATACATGGCGCAGCGCTGCGAGGCACCCCGTCGCTCCCTCACCCCATGGTATCCCCCCCACCGTGATGTGGGTTCC